ACACACACCTGCCCCTGTGGAGACGTCGTGGATCCTGCCTGGCTGTGGGCTGGGGTTTCATAACGGCCACCAGCTCCGGGTGGGATGGAGAGGCCCCGGGTGTGCCAGCTGTGTTGCCCTTTCACATGCAGTTCCAGACTAGCCATGCTACGCAGCAGCTCTGAAGCTCACCCGGAATCAAGAACCACCGCTCGGGTCCACATGCCAATGGAGCTACCACCCTACAGCTAGAGTTTGCTTTCTTTTTTTGTTTTGCTTTTTTTTTTTTTTTAAATCCTGAGACGTTGCCCAGGCTGATCTCGAACTCCCAAGCTCAAGCGATCTTCCATCTCGGCCTCCTGAGTAGCTGGGACTACAGGCATGCACCACCACACCTGGCTAGGGTTTTCTTTCTAAAAGCCCAAATCTAGTCTTCTGCCTTCTCAGCATTATGGATTTGTATCACTTACAGAGCAAAATCCAGGATCCTAGCACATCAAACAAGATCATCCACCGAAGGGGCCCGCCCACCTCTACAGATTCGTTTTCTAATAACACCACACAACTAGGTATAAACCCTCAGCTCATATTATCAGCACTGTATACAGAGAAAAGACAATGTCATATGCATTACACAACTCAAATAATAAATACATTTTGTCATCAGTAAGTTTATAACTTAGGAGAGACAGAAATATAAGCTTTCAGTAAAAAAACAAGCCTGTTAGAGTTACATGAGCAAAGGAAATACGGCATAAACGAGCTCTCAGAAGAAACCGGAGCTGTTACAAAATGAACTCAGTAGTTTTAAGAAAAAATAAACAGTTGAGTGTCACTTCCCAGTAATCACAAAAATAAAACAGAAGATGGTTATGGGTTAGGAGCTGGCGTTAACTACCATCCCTTTAAATTAACCAAAAGCTTACCTGAATTACAGCATCTACAACCTGGCTTCTGGCCTGGTTTCATTACAGCATGGCAGCTCTAAACACGTGTTTCTAATTCCTTTAAAGATGAAAATAATGAATCCCCATGCTACCTGGACCCTGCTACGACCAAATCTTCTCCCTCTCACAGCCATTTCAACAGCATGCGCACCGGTCTTGTTTTTCTTAGCCCTCCCTTTCAGACTCATTGCTTTTCTATACATGAAGATGAAATGCATGAAGTTTCTGGTACTTCTTCTGTCTGGGATACTGAAAAACACTGAATGCTATTGCTACCGTTGACCACGGTCAAAATGGAGTTGACTTGCTCGGTGTATAAAGTGGTACCACTGGTTACGAGCCCCTACCTTCCTGCAAACAAATTCAGAGACAATTTCAGCAAACTCCTGAACCCTCTCATGAATCTACACCAATGCATCTGATATCCACGGCTTGGGATTCACGGAGAAGTCTATGTCATGCTTCTCAGAAGTAGCAAAGTGATGATGGCTCTTCTACACCCCATCAGCCCTCCCTGAATGGGGCCATCCTATTAACCAACTTCCACCTGAGACAGTGCTCACCAAGATACCTAAAGGACCCAAACCCTTCCCTGGGTCCCTGCGGAGCAAAATCAATAACGGCGCTATGTGAGGATAACAGTCCCTGCTGTAACAAACTCCAGCCTCCAGTGGCTTAACACAATAGTCATGGAGGCGGCTCACATAAAATCCAAAATGGACTTTGCTGATCTGCGGATGGCTTTCCTCCAGAAACCCGAGCAGGGACCCAGCTCTCTCCATCTTGTGGTTCCATAGTTTTCAGATGGCTTCTAATGCCACTCTATTGGATGTATCAAGTTGTAAAAGGAAAAACACCTCCCATATGGCCTAGAAGCAGCACACATCACCTCCATCCACATTTGACTGGCAAAAACTAGGTCACGTGGTCTAGCTAGACCATAATTCCCAGCTCCCCTCTATCTGCAAGAGAATCTAGGAATTACAGTCTAGCTACATGCTCAGGAGGAGAGGAAACAGAAGAATTAGACTACCCGATCTCTAGCCAACCAGCATGACATGAATCACCAGCACTACCAGGGAGGGGATGGTAATAAAACAGCGAGTTTCCCAGAGAGTTCCCACTGCTGGCCTAGAAACTGGGTTGGAAGGGCCTGATTATCAGGCTCGAACACCCTCCTTAGGAGTTCGGAGTAACTGTATCCGATGAGCGGTAAGGTCTCTGCCAAACCCACACTTCCCTCCTGAGACTTTCGGAATGTATAGTTGCTATGCTTTGTACCATTTGATCTGCCTCCCTGGGCAAAGCTGCTTGAAGCAGAGATGGCTGCTTAACCAAAAAAAGACATCCCCCCATAGGTCTGCAGGAGAGGGGCTGATGCACTTGAGTTCTGCTCCACAAAGGCACGCACCACCGGATACGGACAAATGACCAAAGCAGACTTTTCTTCCGTCTGCCTTAGGAGGTTTAAAGCAAGACATACAGATGGAAGAGAGACGGAAGAGGAACAGCACAGAGAGAGAAGGCAGAGGCAGGGCGCAGAATCATAAAGCATCTGAAGCCATGAGGAAGCAGATGCAAAGGGGCAGGAGACACACAGCAGAGATCAAGTCAGGAGCAAAACAGGAAGAAACTGGAAAAGCAGAAATAAAAGAGGGGGAGTGGAGTCGCCAGCCTGTTAGATTACCAGTTGATGTGCAGTCAACAGAGTGACTTGAAACACTAGAGCCCCTGTGTTCCCTTAATGGCAACACAGGTCACTGCAGTGCACTGAGAGGCTGAGAGGCTGCGATGCCGCGGGGGTTTTCCTGTCTGTTTGTTGGTTGGTTGGCTTTTTTGTTTGTTTGTTTGTTTTTCTGCTATTCCTTATAGAAATAAGTTCCTTCTATTAAATGGCATAGTATTTGCATATAACCTATGCACATCCTCCCATATTTTAAATCCTCTCTGTATTACTTACAATACCGTCTATCACTTATTTCCAAACCTGTCCTTACAATAAACTTGTTCTGAGAAAACTTAAAGAATATTTGGTCCCATCCAACCTGACAGAGCATGACCAACAGAATGAAAAGGAGCCCAGTTTCCAAACAAGTCTGGACCACAGGAATACACAGTAAGGCTTTCTTGGTTTGTGTTTATTCGATGTTTCAGCGCTCATCATGAAACTACCATGAGCTATTCTTCGTGATGCATTGGATTAAGTCTTCCACACTGTTCAAGTGAGTCTAATATTGCTTTCCCATATTAAGGAGAATAGGTTGAGGCTGCAGGATGTAGGAATCTGGAAGCCGCAGAGGGTACACACCCAGAGGCCACAGTAATTTTATACCCAGAGGCCTCAGGAAGTACACTCCCTGAAACCACCAATCCTCAGAAAGCCTCTGGCTCCCCACTATTAAATTCACACAGCAAAATGTGCACCTGATCTAGACGTCCAATAACAATAGGCAGGCGCGGTGGCTCATGCTTGTACTCTCAGCACTTTGGGAGGCTGAGGCGGGTGGATCACTTGAAGCCAGGAGTTCGAGACTGGCCTGGCCAACATGGTGAAACCCTGTCTCTACTGAACATACAAACATGAGCTGGGCATGGGGGCACATGCCTGTAATCCCAGCTACTCAGGAGGCTGAGGCAGGAGAATCACTTGAACCCAGGAGGTGGGGGTTGCACTGAGCTGAGATCGTGCCACTGCACTCCAGTCCAGGTGACTCCATTTCTAAAAGCAACAACAGACGGGGCTGGGCGTGGTGGCTCACGCCTGTAACCCCAGCACTTTGGGAGGCCAAGGTGGGCAGATCACCTGAGGTCAGGAGTTCCAGACCAGTCTGGCCAACATAGTGAAACCACTTCTCTACTGGAAATACAAAAATTAGCTGGGTGTGGTGGCGGGCACCTGTAATCCCAGCCACTTGGGAGGCTGAGGCAGGAGAATTGCTTGGACCCAGGAGGCGGAGGTTGGAGTGAGCTGAGATAAGGCCACTGCACTCCAGCCTGGGTGACAGAGCGAGACTCTGTCTCAAAATTGAAAAACAGACAGATAGCTATAATCCAAAGTTAGCCTCCAAAGTTACAGAAACAGTCTTCTTTATTAAAATACCCAGTTACGGGCCCTGAACAGGGACGCCGGAATCCAAGTGTTATTTTTCTTGTCACAATGCCATCCTATTAACTTCCATCTATAAAGCCGGAAGGTCCTAGGAATCCCATAGCTTACTGGGACTCCTAGGACCGACCCCAGGCCCTTTGCAATGTCCTCCAATACATTAATGCTTATGGCATTCCTGCCACTTAGCCTAAGCTTGAACTGGAGAGCTACCTCCATTCTAGATGCTTGAACGCTACTAAAAAGACATGAAACGAGCTTCATCACAGATGTGGCCCCACTCCATGGGAACCATCACTCCATGGGAACCAACACTCCATGGGAACCATCACTCCATGGGAACCAACACTCCATGGGAACCATCACTCCATGGGAACCAACACTCCATGGGAACCATCACTCCATAGCTGTTTTCTGAGATTTATCCAAGTTATACAAGTAGTCTTCATTCATACATAAACCTGTTTTTGCAATTCATTTCTTACTGAGGGGTGTGTGGACCCAACAATCCCCATTTCTCTTTAATGTTTTTCCACTGCACAAATGCAGACCCAGTAACAATACCATTTTGACAAACTCTGAGTAGCTTCCAGCTTGGGGAAACTCCCATGCAATCTCTCCACACTGCTCACACTTTTTACTACCTGATAAACATGAATTGCAAAATGTCATTTTAGTATCTCTTCAAAAATAGAACTATATGTGAAAAAGTAAAAGTAATATTTATACTACCTCCAGTGCTCCTAGGAAAAGTTATTTCTAATCCATTACAAATAAATTCTTGTTACTACTTCTTACCGAATTTTAGACAGGACCTAGTACACTCATGAACAAAATATGGGAAAAATACAATGGAATATTATTCAAAAAGGAATAAAATTCTGACCCATGCACAAGATGGGTGAACCTTGAGAACATTACGCTAAGTGAAATAAACCAGACACAGAAGGACAAATATTGTTTGTTTTTTAAAAATGGAACGCTTCACAAATTTGCATGTCATCCTCGCACAGGGGCCGTGCTAATCTCATCTGTACTGTTCCTATTTCAGTATATGCGCTGCCACAGCAAGCACGAGAAGGACAAATATTGTGCTCTTCCATTTATATATGAGGCACGCGGGATAATCAGACTCACAGACACAGAAAGTAGCCCGGTGGTTGCCACGGGCGGCAACAGGGAGAGATACAGAATTATTACTACACAGGTACAGAGTTCCAGTTTGGGAAGGTGCAAGGCCTAAAGTGGACAGCGGCGATGCCTGCACAGTGACATTAACACCACAGCATTCTATGCTAAAATGGTAATCGTTAGGTTATCTGTATTTTACCATAGTAAAAAATACACACAGGCAGGCGCACACACACACACACACACACACACGTACATATTTGCATGGAGACTCTCTGGAAGAATGAGAGAAAACTGTAGCAAACCTCGCCTTTGAAAAGGGGAACTGGATAGGTAAAACCGAGGTTTACTTATCACTGCATATTATTTCCACCTTTATAATTTTATCCCATTACATATACCATCTATTCAAAAATTTAATTTTTGATCAGTCTTAACTTCTAAACACAGAGAAGGAAAATATATATAAGTGAAAATGTAGCCAGGTGGGCTCATGCCTGCAATCCCAGCACTTTGGGAGGCCAAGGCAAGTGGGTCACTTGAGACCAGGAGTTCGAGACCAGCCTGGCTGGCCATCATGGTGAAACGCTGTCTCTACTAAAAGTACAGAAAAAAAAAATAGCTGGGATTGACCTGCAATCCCAGCTACTCAGGAGGCTGAGGCAAGAGGATCACTGGAACTTGGGAGGTGGAGATTGCAATGAGCCAAGATTGCTCCATTGTACTCCAGCCTGGGCAAGACAGCGGCACTGTCTTAGGGAAAAAAAAAAAGCCAGGCACGGTGGCTCATGTCTGTAACCCCAACACTTTGGGAGGCCGAGGTAGGTGGATCACCTGAGGTCAGGAGTTCAAGACCATCCTGGTCAACATGGTGAAACCCCGTCTCTACTAAAAATACAAAAAATTCGCTGGGCATGGTGGTGTGTGCCTGTAATCCCAGCTACTCGGGAGGCTGAGGCAGGAGAATTGCCTGAACCCAGGAGGCGGAGGTTGCAGTAAGCCGAGATTGTGCCATTGCACTCAGCTTGGGTAACAAGAACGAAACTCTGTCTCGAAAAAAAAAAAAGAACTTTAAAATATTTATTTTACGGCCGGGTACGGTGGCTCACACCTATAATCCCAGCACTTTGGGAGGCCGAGGCGGGTGGCCTATTTTAAAGTTCTTATGAGAGTTTTGCTACATATAACATAACATTGCTCATCCAGATTAAACAGGGGAAAACCAAGTCTGAGTTATTTACTTTAAGAATATAAAATGGGACCAGGTGCGGTGGCTCACGCCTGTAATCCCAGCACTTTGGGTGTCCGAGGCAGGCAGATGACTTGAGGCCAGGAGTTTGAGACCAGCCTGGGCAACTCAGCGATACTCTGTCTCTACTAAAAATACAAAACTTAGGTGGGCGTGGTGGCAGGCACCTGCAATCCCAGCTGCTCGGAGGCTGAGGCAGGAGAATCGCTTGAACCCAGAAGTTGGAGGTTACAATGAGCCGAGATCGCACCACTGCACCCCAGCTTGAGCCACACAGTAAGACCCCATCACAAAATAATAATACAAACTATGTATGTATACAAAGTAGAAGAATTATAATAGCTAATATTGGTCTTAACTTTAAATACCAAGCTAATATTGTTCTAAGAGCTTTATGAATGTCCACTGAAGAGAGTGGTTCTCAAACGTTTTGGTCTGAGAACTCCTTTTACTATGAAAAATTATCAAGGCACTCAAAATGGTTATGTCTGTGTGAGTTATTACTATCTTTATTATCATATTAGAAACTAAACTTTAAATTTTAAAAATATGTATTTACAATTTAAAAATCTGTATTAAAAACATGTATTTTTAAAATGTGTATGTATTAAATCATTTAGAAATCCTACATAAACCCATGTTTACATAAATAGTTTTTATTTTTTTAAACTATATTTTCCAAAACAAAAAGTATATTTAGAAGAATGGCCTAGCTACATACGTACAATGTAAATATGTCATAGCTGGCTTCTCATCTCTAGTTCTGCATTCAGTCTGCTGCAAAACTGCACGTCATGTCGCCTCAGAAAAACTGCAGTGCACATGAGCAAAGAAACCCGTTTCCTGTCTCTCGTCTCAAAGGAGGAGGAAGTAAAAGCTGAGACACAGCAGGCAGGAGGTCAGTGGCCTGTGGGTTAAAGATTAAACCCCCCCAACCCTTAAGATCTCAGGCAATGCTAAGGGTGGGCGGTACGGAGGAACGCCCTCTATTGTTCCCATTCAGTCCTGCTCAAACCCCCGCGCTTACTCCATCCATCCTGACCCCGCATACGTACTTTCTAAAACTGTAAACCCAAGACCCTTTCACATGTAATATCTAGAGCTGTGAGCCTGTATAAAGGCAGAGGTTCCCTTTGTTGGACCAGCGTGGCTATCAGGCAAGTATGCCACCTTGCTGCAGCCGAATAAATCACCCCTTCCTTCCCAGATCCGTGTGTAAGAGGTCTGTTTCGGCCACTCCTGCTTCATATATTTTTGGGGAAAATGAGAAGGAAAAGAACAAATACTGTCTTAAATTTATTATGAAAATAGTTTGACTTCACAGACCCCTGAAAGGGTCTTAGGGGCACTTTGAGAACTACTTACTTATACTATCAAGCCTGTGAGGCAATGTACAAATGGAGGCACAAAGAGAGTAACTAAGGTACCGGGAGTCACAGCGCTGGGACAGAAAGTCTGAATCCAGACCTCAGGACTGCCCCTCTAAGGTGGAAGGGCATTCGCAGGGGCCCATCTCATAATGCTGTTGACAGTGGGCGGGTGGCTGCCCAGCATTTGCAATACAAGACTTTCCCTGTAGCTAATGTGATAAAATTTCAAATTAAATATTCCAATTTGTGCAAAGCAGAGATAAGGGAAAGGGAGAGAAGCCACCACAAAACTTTAAGACCTCTCAGGGGGCCTCCGTCAGCCCTACACAAAAGCACCACCAAACTTCCACCTGAGGGATAAAGCAGTTCGGGGAGGAACAGCCAATGCCTGGGGGCTCCCCAGGAAAGCTCTCTCTGGCCTGCCCACAAAAACAACAACTGCTTAGCTTTACAAGGTCATCTTAAAGTGTTTCCCAAAATGGGCTGCGCTGATGGTTCACGCCTATACTCCCAGCACTTTGGGAGGCCAAGGCAGGTGGATCACCTGAGATCAGGAGTTCGAGATCAGCCTAACAAATGTGGTGAAACCCCTGTCTCTACTAAAAATACAAAAAACAATCAGTTGGGCATGGTGGCACACGCCTATAATCCCAGCTACTCAAGAGGCTGAGGCAAGAGAATTGCTTGAACCCGGGAGTCGGAGGTTGCAGTGAGCCAAGATTGCACCACTGCACTCCAGCCTGAGTGATAGAACAGGACTCCATCTCAAAAAAAAATAAAATAGAAATAAATGTCTCCCTCCATTCAAAGACACTTCTTCACACCGCTCAATCCTTCTTTTTTTCCTTTAAGTGGACAAATAATAATTATACAGATTTATGAGATATGCAGAGTGATACTTCAATACTTGTATACAGCGTAATGAGCAAATCAGGGTAACTGGCATATCCACCACCTAAGGCATTTCTCATTTCCTTGAGTTGTGAACATTCAAAATCCCCTCTTCTGTTTTTGGAAAATATGTAATAAATTACAGTTACCCATATTTGCCCTCTAATGAGGCAGAACAACAGAACTCCTTCCGTTTATCCAGCTGTGCTTTTGTGTCCACCACCCCCACCAGCCTCTCCTCCCATCTGTCCTGTCCTCTAACACACAGCTCTACTCTCTTCTTCCATGAACTTGATTTTGTTTTAGCTCCCACAGAGGAGTGAGATCATGCGGTATTTATCTTTCTGTGCCTGACTTATTTTGGTTAACACAGCGTCCTCCAGGCTCACTCAGGTTGTCACGAATGACAGGATTTCATTCTTTTGTATGTACTTTCCTCAATCCTGACACAGAACACTGCCTTCAATCCTTAATTAAAATGCTTAAAAAGAAAGATATTTATGAGATATTAAATCATTTTATAAACTGACAACAGTTAATATAGTATTGAACTAGTACAAGGCTGAAGGGTACAGTGGTATAGTACATGAGATATGCCCCAAATTCGATCCACTTCTATAAAATGCAGCATATTATAAAGAAGGCCTAACAATCCCTGAAGTAGAATAAACTGTTTAGTAATTTAGAAAAAAAAAAATGTCTATTTAGACCTTCACTTTTTTTTTTTTTTTTTAAAGACGGGGTTTCACCATGTTGGTCAGGCTGGTCTTGAACTCCAGACCTCAGGTGATCCGCCCACCTTAGCCTCCAAAGTGCTTGGATTACAAGTGTGAGCCACCGTGCCTGGCCAATTTTTTTTCTTTTTTAAAGATGGGGTTTCACCATGATGGCCAGGCTGGTCTCGAACTCCTGACCTCAGGTGATCCACCCACCTCGGCCTCCCAAAGTGCTAGGATTACAGGCGTGAGCCACCGCGCCCGGCCTAGACCTTCACTTTTAATCATCAGTCAAAATACACTCTAGATAGATCAACTGTTTTTACAAATGGAGAAAACAGGCTGGGAAAGGCAGGGCCGGACCTTACTCATCCCTGCATTCTCAGAGCCACGTTGCAGGCTGCACAGTCGAACTGGATGGAGCTGCCGGCAAAGAAGAAATGAACTTGAGCTCCAGTTGCTAACCCACTGGGTGGTCTCAGGCAAGACTTTTGGCTTCTTTGTCCTGAAATTTCTCTTTCTCTTTCTTTTTTTCTATTTTGTTAAGATGTAGTCTCACTCTGTCACCCAGGCTGCAGTGCAGTGATGCGTCTCAGCCCACTGCAACCTGCACCTCCTGGGTTCAAGCAGGTCTCCTGCCTCAGCCTCCCAAGTAGCTGGGACTAAAGGTGCGAACCACCACCCCCAGCTAATCTTTTAATTTTTTTGTATTTCTGGTAGAGACAGGATTTCACCACGTTGGCCAGGCTGGTCTGAAACTCCTGACCTCAAGTGATCCACCCACCTCAGCCTCCAAAGCTTAATTTCCAATTTAAAGAGTAGTCGAGTCCAGTGGCTCCCACCTGTAATGCCAATACTTTGGGAGACTGAGGGAGGTGAATCAGCCTGGGCAACATAGCCAGACCCCTGTCACTACAAAAAATAATAATTAGCTCAGTGTGGTGGCAAGTGCCTATAGTCCTAGCTGCTTGGGAGGCTGAGGCAGGAGGATCACTTGAGCCCAGGAGTTCAAGGTTACAGTGAGTTATGATCAAGCCACTGTAATCCAGCCTATCTTTAAAGATCCTATCCTTAAGATAATTTTTTTAGCCGGGTGCGGTGGCACGTGCCTGTAGTCCCAGCTACTGGGGAGGCTGAGGCTAGAAGATCACCTGAGCCCAGGAGTTCTAGACTGTAGTCACCATGCCGATGCAGTGTCCACACTAAGTTCGGCATCAATATGGTGACCTCCCGGGAGCAGGGGACCACCAGGTTGCCTAAGGAGGGGTGAACCGAAGGCCCAGGTCAGAAATGAAGCAGGTCAAAACTCCCGTGCTGATCAGTAGTGGGATCACACCTGTGAATAGCCACTGCACTCCATCTTGGGCAACATAGTGAGACCCCGTCTCCTAAAAAAAATTTTTAATAAATAAATAATATTAAATAATAATAATATTTTTTAAAAAAAGAATAAATGGTAATGATACCAGCAGCATGAGAACATTCATTACAAACTTTAAAGTGCTATACAAATGAACATAGCAATAATGATTAGAAATCTACATTCATCCAAGTTGTTACTCCTCAAATATACTCAGCGTGAATATTTTAATGCTAAAAACAATAATAATGTTCTTAGTAACCATCTTTAATTAATAAAGATTTAAGTTGTAAGAACATACACTTTCCCTCAGGGCCTCAGTAAAGTTATTTTAACTTCCAATGGAAAAGAAGATGCAGCCATAAACATCTTTATTTTGACTGAATTGGCCCTTTTACCAAAAAAGGCCTGGCATCACTGCTCTAAGGGACTGGGGAGATTTTCCTTCACTGCTATTGTCAGGGAGCCTGAAGGCAGGAGAAACCCCGATGTCTTTAAAGGGCAGGGGTGGGAGTGTGGGCAACAAAGCATAGCAGAAGACTTGCCGTTAGAGAAAACCTGGTGTGACACGGAGCAAACAAACTACCTACCTTCTCCTCGTCTCCAGAAATAAAAAGACAAAAACGAGGTAACCCACATGAACCCTCTTCCACCCAGCTACAGGTAGTGTATCAGAGGGCAGGCCTCAAGCAAATGCTGGTTTCTTTTCTCTCCTTCCCCTTCTCTCTTATAAAGCCTTATTTCCCCTGACTTCTCTATCAATACCTCTGTCCCCTGCCCCCAGGAGGAGAACCCTTCAAGGAGAGGTCTGAGGTCAAGGCACTTGTCATTCATGTATTCAGTCATTCACATTGCAGGCCAGGGTGCTCAAACCCTACTGTCACCACCAGCACCCCACCCACTCATTTCCTACTGGGACACCCACAGTAAGGCCTGGGGTTCCACAGTGTCACTTCCATAGAATGCAATGTGATCAGAGCCACCGGAGCTGTATGGAGCTGCACGGTGCTCCAGTCCTGACGGCACTGGTTTATAAGCATCTACGGGTTCCTCTTCAGCACCATTTTTAAAATTACTTCCCACTGCTTCGCTGGCCTCTGTACTAGGTTCTGGCCCTGAGATTCTAATCTCATCAGATAACCCTCATTTAGCATGGCCTCCTGAAGGAATGGCTTCACTGCCTTTTTTTTTTTTTTTTTTGAGAGAGAGAGTCTGACTCTATCACCCAGGCTGGAGTACAGTGGTGCAAGATCTCAGCTCACTGCAACCTCCGCCTCCCGGGTTCAAGCAATTCTCCCACCTCAGCCTCCTGAGTAGCTGGGACTACAAGCAAATGCCACCACACCTGTGTAATTTTTGTATTTTTAGTAGAGACAGGTTTCCCTATGTTGGCCAGGTTGGTCTCGAACTCCTAACCTCAGGTGATCTGTCTGCCTTGGCCTCTCAGAGTGCTGGGATGACGGGTGTGAGGCACCGAGCCTGGCTTCACTGCCATTCCTTGATGTGTGTAACACAAACACTACACTTCTGAGCGTCTAATCTCTTCTATCTTTTGAGGGGTTTTTGTTTCAGTCTCAAGCTCTGTCCCCCATTTCAGATCTCCCAGTATTCCTGTCTTTCTCTTGTCTTTTTACGTTTTTCTGTTTTGGTTCTTTTTGCTATTTTTCAGGGGGAGTGTACCATTGGTAAGCATTATTCTTTCCTTGCAATATACTATTCGTGGCCTTATAATACATATTTATGTGTTTTACAAAGCAAGTGCTCTTCATTCACTCAACGACTATTTCCTGAGTGCCAACTACACGCCAAGCAGTGAAGATAAAAAGAGTTCATCTCACTCGCAAAGTTTACAATGTATACGTTGCAACAGGCAATGAGAATATAGTGTATTCTTCATACCAGAGATGGAGAGTAAGTCCTTACCAAAGCAATAGCTAGCAAACGCATTTTACAGAGCACGGAAAACAAAACCTAAAATATCATCATAAATCCACGGGACAGTATAAAAAGAAGAGAAAATCACTCTCTCGTATTTTACGACTCGGACCGGGTAATTTAGAAGTGCAACGAAAAAAAAATTTCCAAACCTCACATCCACTGTATTATTCGACTCATGGTCAAACACTTCAAAGGCCCCTTTGATTTTTTTGTGAAATTCTGCTACTACTGTCTCTGCAAAAGACAAAGGAAATAAAAATTATTTTACTTTAGCTTTGAATTCAAAACAAAAATTCTAATACCCGGACTAGAAATCTTAATAAGCGAATATATGAGTAACTCTTTCCTCCTCTTTATGTATCATTTAGCATGTTTAACTTCCTCTGGAGATGTCAAAGAATACACTACATGTTTAAACATTTTTTTCTGAGGAATAATACACATACTGTAAAGGTGCTCTAATCTGAAGTACACAGCTTAATTAAGTGTTTACATATGCATATATTCATGGAACCACTCCAATCACGGTAAGAGAATACCACCAGCAGCGGCCTCTCTCTCAAGTCCTTTGGGTAGAGTCCTAGCCTGAGAGGCAGAGTGAATCCAATAAAACAGATATTGTGGGTTGGGCACGGTGGCTCACACCTGTAATCCCAGCACTTTGGGAGGCCGAGGTAGGTAGATCACCTAAGGTCAGGAGTTTGAGGCCAGCCTGACCAACATGGAGAAACCCCGTCTCTACTAAAAATACAAAATTAGCCAGGCGTAGTGGCCCATGCTTAGCACAATTTTGAGACTTAATTGCATTATTTCCTTTATTCTTTCATTCAGCCAAACACCTTGGAGTTGGCCTTGACCCTTTTCTTTCTCTCTTCACCTAACATCAAATTTATCAGCAAATCTTGTTGGCTCTGCTCTTTATAATATATCCAGAATCGGCTGGGTGCGGTGGCTCACACCTGTAATCCCAGCACTTTGGGAGGCCGAGGCAGGTAGATCACCTAAGGTCAGGAGTTTGAGACCAGCCTGGCCAACATAATGAAATCCCATCTCAACTAAAAATACAAAATTAGCCGAGCATGGTGCTAATTAATGGCTGTAATTGCAGCACTTTGGGAGGCCCAGGCAGGAGCATTGCTTGAGCTCAGGAGGTCGAGGCTGCAGTGAGCCGTGATCAGACTACTGCACGACAACCTGGCAACAGAGCTAGACCTTGTCTCAAAGAAAAGAAAAAGGTCTCAAAATTCATCAAACACTAAGTACAACAGGACACTCAGAAAGAAAGAGAGTAGGTATGAGTTTAGGTAATTATTTCAATTAGAAATATTATATCACCAGATAGTAGAAAATAGGAAATTTTTTAATCACTCACATTCTCTTCACCTTAACATAATCGGTAATTATTTTGCTGTGTTTTCTTCCAGTCTTTCTTCATACTTACTCTTTTATATATAGCATTGAATAACTACCATTCGCTCATTCAACAAATATTTACTGAATAAACACTACACACCAGCTTCTGTGTCACGTACTTTAC